CTTGGTACATAATACCTCATAAAGTTCCAAAATTCAAATATGTACTTTAAAGTACGCCTTTTCCCGGTCTTTAAAGGTAGTTTTTAAGTTTGTGAAACTTTCAAACTCATATTTTTCCGGAGCAGATCAATGAATTGATATTAAAAAGTTAAAATAAAAAAAAAAGTTTGAAATATAATAAATATTTCGTGAATTGAGTAAAATGTAAATAGAGTTTGCTTTTCAGAAGCGGGTCCGGGATGAATACAGCGTGTATCAATCCTGGTCCCGGACCTTGGTGAACGCTCCCTAGATACACTATATATTCCCGCTCGTTATGTACCTAGAACATCAGTAGGAATACATGGAGTTATAAGAGTGACATGGAATTACTACTTTTGTTTTGATCTAAATCCTAGTGTCTGATGAAAAGAAACATCGGTACATGTTGACAGAAAATGAGAACATGAAGATTTTTAGTTGACAAACTGACAGGCATTAAGTTACCAAATACAGGAGTTCGATTGGTATGAAGTATTAAAATTAATATACAGTTACATAACACAAATGAAACATTAATTTGTTTTTAATAATTTCTCATTTCATATTCAAATAATTTTTCCTAGTATGCCTAGTATGTACATGCAACACCCAATCATAAACACTGCCTGTCATTCAACATTATTTACAATGTTTTAAACTGTGTTTCCATAGCAATACTGCCAGTCCTATTTCGTTGACCATATGGCTTCTAGTTTTAAGTGCCATAATTGTAGGATCCACTGTAAAAACAGTGTTGCCATAGCAACACTGCCACTTGTCTATATTGATGACCACCTTGTTCTAGTTTTAAGTGCCGAGATTTTGCCACTGCAAAAAACATGTTGCCATAGCAATACTGTCAGTCCCATAATGGTGGCCACACTGCTTCTAGTTCTAACTGCCGAGATTGAGGGATCTACTGCATAAACCGTGTCGCCATAGTGACACTTTCAGTCCTATAGTGATTGGTGGCCACATGGCTTCTAGTTCTAAGTGCCGAAATTGTACGATCCGCTGCATAAACTTTGTTGCCATAGTGACACTGTCAGTCATATAACGGTGGCCACATGGCTTCTAGTAAGTGACGAGATTGTGAGATATGCTGCATAAACTGTGTTGCCATCGCAACACTGTCAGTTCTATAATGGTGGCCTCATGGCTTTTATTTCTAAGTGCCGAGATTGAGGGACCCAATGCATAAACTGTGTTGTCATAGCAACACTGTCAGTCCTATAATGGTGGCCACATGGCTTCTAGTTCTAAATGCCGAGATTGTGGGATCCACTGCATGTAGGCAGATAATAAATCTGAAATATAAAAAAATGATCCTCTTGAAGTGTACGAAAAAATAGCTATGTTGACTAGTGTTTATTTCAGGTGAGTCCATTAAAAAGGGGTGTACCATGTATGTTTCCAAACAACGGACCATCAGGCTTAGATCAAATACAAGAAACAAGTGTTGCCAAATAAGTCTAGTTACATTAAAAAATTGAAAAAAAAATCTAACCTACATTGATACCTTGTTTGGTATGAACAGATTTTGAAGAGATGTAGCATATGCTTCAGTACATATTGTATTGGAAAACAGCCATTTACTAAAATAGTCTAGGGTCAAGTTTAATACATCCCTTTTTTGTATAAGTATCCAATTAAAATCTAAACACACGTTTCAGGAGGGGAATCTTAACTAGGAAAGAAGTGTAGCATTGTCCTTGGTGTCCCATTATACCTAATTGAGTCAATCTTTTATTTGATTTTGGTCTCTATATAGTACAGTACCCAGCTTTCAACATTCACATTACACTTTATTCACAATCAAGTATTAACATCATTAGCTACAAAATCAAGTGACTTACATGTAGGTTGACTTTCCCAGATCTTTAACAGTTTAGTTTTGCAGTCGACTTGTTCCGTTAATAATTCTTTCAGTAGACTCTCTGTACGAGGCTGCAATCTGCAAGAAACAAACATCAAATGTTTACAGTAAAACCAGTAAATCCATCTGAACAACTGTCAATTTAAACACTTTTTTCAATCCCATATACTGTTACATAATTCCATGTTAAAAACTCAAAATGTGAACACCAGCCAATCAGAACACTACAGCTCACTCCAAGTGGCATTTGAATTAGACAGGTTTTTCTCTATGTGTTATGGCACATGTCTTAAACTAATATGACTCATACAAATTCCAAATCTAGATATACACATAAATAGCTTAAATAGTTATATTTTGTCAATGCATCTCGAGGATATGTTTTATATAAATACTTACTTGGCCCATGACTTATTCATGGTGGCAGGCGCAGACAGCAGATCCTCTCTGAAGCACTTCAGCTTAGGACATACAAGAGCCTCTAGAAAGAACCTAGCGAAATACTTGACACGGTCTATACACTCTGGGTACTCTAGCTCAACTGCAGGGATTTCCCAACAACGGACCCCTGTAATAAAGTGTCTCTATTAACATACAACATATACCAATGGGAACCTAGCGAAATACTTGACACGGTCTATACACTCTGGGTACTCCAGCTCAACTGCAGGGATTTCCCAACAACGGACTCCTGTAATAAAGTGTCTCTATTTACATACAACATATACCAATGGGAACCTAGCGAAATACTTGACACGGTCTATACACTCTGGGTACTCCAGCTCAACTGCAGGGATTTCCCAACAACGGACTCCTGTAATAAAGTGTCTCTATTTACATACAACATATACCAATGAGGCAATACGTCTCACTTGCCTCATTCATGGTATCATTCAGAGCATCATCTTTAAAGGCAAGTTTAACAAGGCATTAACAGGCAAAATGTCACAACATACTATTTGTAACATATGCTAAATGCCAACCACCGAATGCTGCCCATTAAACATCAAACGTCAAACATCATCCATAAAAAAGTTGGAGACGATAATTATATGTCACCACTTGTGACAGAAGAGATTTTTCAAAGATTATGGATGATACAGATAAGTATATATCTGGGAACTTACCAAATGTACTCGTCATGTGTGTAAGAACATTTCCTGAAGAACTGTCGTATCTAGGAGGGGGTAAGTCAAGAGGCTTAGAAAATGCGCAACCATGGGGCACGAGCACTGGCAGCCACTCTGCTTCTATCACAGAAACACCTACAATATTGGAGAATACTGTAATGATTTTCAGGTTTATATATTTATGCATGTATAAGGTTTATACATTCATTATAATGTCATTTCTATTCTCTTCTTTATCTGTCATTAAGTTGGTGAGTACTAATATGTGACCATCAATTTATAAAATCATAACAATTTTCCCTCATGTCTTTCTGATATTCTGTCTTTCTGATATTTTGTCTTTCTAACACTTTGTCTTTCTAACAGGGAACACATCTAGCCCAAAGGAAGGAGGATTATAAGTCCTGTATATATTTCTTCATCCACTTGAATAATGGTCTTCCCATTGGCTCACATGTTTGTTTCTGCCATATATTTATATGTATTGAGAGTGGTGTGAGACCCATGATTGGTGATAACTGTGGAGTTGGACCATATGCATACATTTGCGACATCCAGTAAAGTGAAGTTTTGAAGTTGTAACTGATGTTTTGTTCTATAAACACTTAATATGGTCTCAGGTGTAGGATGTTTTTCTTCCTTTTTAGCACCCTCTCTCTGGAAGTTTCCCTTCTTTCTAACTTTATCCTCGTCAGCTCATCCAAAGTTTGTCCGATTTATCATATGCGGTTATGAAAATACAATTTAGCTGATCTCACCTCTCATGTAGAGTTTCGATGTTTCGGTGATGTCTTGGAACACAACATATTCATGGTTTTGTTTGTATAGCACAGAATTGGGATGTATGTAGACAGGCTCCTCTAGGTGTATACTCTAAAACAATTATGCAAATCTAATGATCACAATGCCAATGAATCTCATTGAGCATTGAGCAGTGATTTCCTGAGCATTAAAGCAAGTGAGCCAAGTAACCACTTGTATTTTGAAATAGGTTTTTACCCATTTGATATCCGATTTGCACACACTTGAGAATGAGAAAACAATGGAACTGCAAAGCAAGTGAACATGGACATTATGAATCAAAGATTAAAAATATCAGGACTTCTTAATCAGGCTCAAGTATGTGCAGACAAAATGGCCTAAAGCTTAAGTTTGGATATTGAAAATATTGTTGTAAATATTCAAACTATAAACAACGTTTTATTGTCTTCTAAAGTAAGAGGAAAACACATAATACAATTCTGTTACGTCAGTAGCCAGGGGGGCGTGGTTTGAGGGGTTCGAGCAAACGCCCCTGGCCAAAAATTCTTTCAAAATCATGCAGTTTTTCACCATTTTGATCACTATTCCAGTGATTTTGATCCTAATTGGGACAATGTAGTAAAAAATGAGCCCCCTGAAATTTTTTAAAAAGTAAACCTTGGCAAATTCTGGATATGAGCCTGTATGTTTCCTGTCTTGACAAGTCGTACAATGAGTAACATTACAATGAATTAATAATGATAGACCAACATACAGAATACATCGTGAAGACTAACCTGATATGCCATCTTTAACTTTTTCTTTTCTTCATTTGTTCCAGTACTTGGTTCCTGAAGTTTCCTGAAATATCCGTCAACAAAACAATAAACCTAAACACCACATGACTCAAATCCAATTGTGGTTATTCATGGAAACTTAATGATGAGTCAAATCCGATTGTGGTTATTCATGGAAACTTTATAATATATGATTAAAATCCACAAGTCATCTTCACCGATGATTGCTTCCATTTCATATGGATTATTTCATGTTGACAGACCTCGTTCACACTCTATTCTGGATAACATTTCTAAATTCTCACTAAATTATCAAATCTTTAACTTACTGATTTAGCAACTGGGTATTTTGAGGAATTACTGAAATTAAGTATCTTTTACTTAAATAAGACATAAATACCTTGCAATGTGATCCGAAAGGCCTGTCAGGATTATTTGACGTAAAAGCTTCGCCTGTAGTTCACTAGGGGGCGCCATCTTTGGATCCATGACAACATTAGCTGATGGTAGGACTGAGTTTACTACAATAAAGATAAATAATGAAATAAGAAGTTTTATCATCATTAGGCACACTGAAAAGTTTTTGATCCTGTATATCCTTTTAAAAAGGTGGCTATTTTAAATTGAGCAGCCATTTTGAAAATTTGTTCTTGAGCAAAGATCTCATTCATATACCATTAGCCTACAAAATTTGAACCAAATCCTTGACTTGTATCTAATTTATCAAAATTACATTCTTCATGACAATAGGTGACAATGTCAAATAAGTGGCCAGCTCTCGTGAGCAGAGGTCCTATGTCGCTAACACATCAGCATATGAAATTTGAACCAAATCCAGCAACCAGTGTTTGAGTTTGCAACTCTGAACCTACGAGAGACCGAGTCGTCCAGATTTCTATTCTGGACAATCAGCAATGTCCAAATATAATTGCTCATAAAACATCATATATACCTTAGATATATCTTGAGACCAAATCATAAGCAGGATATCACCAATATATTGAGGATATTAACAGGACAACCAAAAGAACAACCAACTGTCCAAATTGAATGCAATAAGTCGAAAACAGATTTGGGGATTTATATACATTCATGGTTCGCAATGCTGACATAAAACCAAAATTTGGTGCATTTATGTTTTGCAAGTTGATAGCCTCTAAAATACCTCTGAGCTTACTGATACATGTGTGAGATGTTGATGAATATAAGCAATCTAAGCAGTTCATTTCAATATCAATGGTAATCGGTAAGGCATCCCAAATGAAAGTTGGATAAATAGAATATAACATTGTAAGATTTGTATTATATAATTCAGAAAAAATATTTTTTTGATATGCATCTAATTGATTAAAATAGGAAAGAACAGTCAGAATGACATCCCCAAAAAGCCAAAATCGTAAGACTCAGAAAAAGAAACAGATGAAAAAGAAAAACAAGAATAAAACAAACAAAGACGACAGTGAGTCAAACATTTCTAAAGACACAATGGAAACTGATAACGAAAGTGAGCCTTGTAGTGATACTGAAAACTCTAAGCAAGTGAATGGTGAAACAGAAATCACTAACACTGGGAAAAATGAAAATCAGTTAAATCTGGCAGATATCCGTGAAGTGATCAAGGGAGAAATTGAATCTGCAAGAAAATCCATTGAAGCTACATTTGCCAAATTTGAGGCGATGATCACTGCCAAGGTTGATTCTGAAATTAATGCCATAAAACACGGTATACAGCGGTTCGACCTAGATATGAATAAGAAGCTGGGGGACATAACCAAGAGGATTGAAACAGTTGAAAAACAACAAACGGAGGTTAGAGCAGTCCCTGCGACATCACAGAGGTTTGATCCTCAGAATTCTATCATAGTAACTAATGTACCAGCCTCTGAAAATGAGAATCTGAGGGGCAAAATCTCTGTATTGCTGCAGGAAGGTCTAAAAATGGACCACAAAATTATAACAGATGTAGAGAGAACCAAATCAAGGAATGGTCGTCCAGGTGTTGTCAAAGTTCAGGTAGCCACAAGGGATGATAAAATCGCTATACTCCAGAGTAAAATGAAGCTAAGACAGACTGAGAAATTTAAGAATATATACATTCATGGTGCTAAGTCACATGCAGAAAGGCTCATTGAAATTAATTGCCGTGAAATCCTCTCAAACATACCCAATGGTAACCAATACACATTCACAGGTAGTGGTCGTCTGACACCTGCAGGTCGAGAACGAAGACATAATTGGAACAGAGATGACTGGAGCAGAAACAACTGGGATGATGATGACATCAATGAGGATGCTGACACAGTGACTAGAGGAAGAAGTGGAAGGGGTGGCGCAAATGCCCCTATTGCAAGAGGTGGAGCTAGAGGTGGTGCATCTACTGCCAGAGGTGGAGCTAGAGGTGGTAGAGGGACTCACACAATGAGATAGGAATCCTCCCAGTCTCTCCCTCTTAGAAAGTTTGGCCATATAAATGTTTGTGGATTAAAATCGAAATTATCCAATCCAGACTTCAGAGTCAAAATTTCAGAGTATGATATCCTTACCTTAACTGAAACAAAACTGGATAAAGTTGATGAGATAAATATTTCAAGGGATTTAAAAGAACTTGGATATATAACATTTTTCAAAATTAGAAAGAAGATGTCTGTTAAAAAATCTGGAGGGATTCTTGTAGCTGTAAAACAACAATTTAAGAAACATATCAAATATATTGAAAACAAATGTGATTGTGTCCTATGGTTGAGGATTGATAGTCAATTATGTGGTCATCCAATGCTATTAGGAGGTGTATATATCCCACCTGAAGGATCACTGTACTCTGACTATAACTGTTTTGATAAAATTGAATCAGAGATGCTTAGTTTGCAAAATGAAAATGAAGAACTCTGCCTCTTGGGGGATTTAAATTCACATACAGGTTCAATGGAAGATTATGCTAAAATTGACAAGTATATGACGCATTGCATTGATGACAAAATGGTAGAATTTTTTAATGCAATAGATCAGCTTGAGAATTACAATGTTAAAGTGAAACGAGTTTCACATGACTCACACAGGGTAAATAATTTTGGGAATAGACTGATACAAATGTGTAAAGCAAATAATTTATTTATTGCTAATGGGAGATTTGGAAAGAATAGTGAAAATATTACATGTTTTAAAGGAAAGGGTTCTGTAACAGACTATATTATATTATCAACAGGTCTAATATGCACACCAGATCTGAAAAATGTTGAGATAGAACAATTTAACCAAGATTATTCTGACGTTCATTGCTTCATTAACTTGTCTATGACATGTAAGAATCAAACTTTAATCTGTGATGATCAGAATATCTCATTTGTGGCAAATGACAATCATTTTAAATATATATGGTCTAACGATAAGGCTGATGATTTTCAAACAAATTTAGATACTGAAGTTATAAAGCAACTAAATGTATTGTTAGATGATCCATCAACATCTGTTGACGATTTAAATGTAAAGCTAAATGAATGTATTTTGTCTGCTGCTGATAAATCAGGGTTATCAGTAAAAACATGTAAACAAGACGTTTTTAAAAATGGTAAAAATGTTAATAAATGGTTTGATAAAACATGTCATCTAAAAAGGAGATCATATAATAATGCTAAAAATAGGTATCTTAGGACTAAAAGTGAACTAGATAAGCAAGACATGGTACGTAAAAACAAACAATACAAAAAGCAACGCATCAAAGCACAGAAAGAGTACAAGAGGCAATTTAACAAAAAATTATTGAATCTCAAAAAGAATGATAGTAAAAGGTATTGGAAAATTTTAAATCCAAAGTCAAAAAAAGAATTCAATGAAGTCAACCTTGATCTCTTAAGGGATCATTTTGAAAGCTTGTACTCATCTGATGCATCACATGAGATACCAGAAGACATGCCTTCTCAGTATGAGACAGGCTTTGCTTATGACTTGAATATTAAACTTCTTAATTGTGACATCACAGCTGATGAAATTTATTCAGCTATCAAATCCTTAAAGAATGGCAAGTCTTCAGGTATGGATAATATATTAAATGAGTATATTAAGTACAGTAAATCATTATTGATTGACGTATGGGTGAAATTGTTTAATAAAGTGTTAACCTGTGGAGTTATGCCTAGTGACTGGTTGAAAGGAATTATTAAACCGATTTTCAAGAAAAAGGGTAATCTGAACGATCCCAAAAATTATAGAGGTATAACATTGTTAAGCTGTTGTGCTAAATTATTCACTCATGTGTTGAATGTAAGACTGACTGACTTCGTAAATTCAATGGAATTGTTAAATATTAATCAGTGTGGATTTCGGAAGTTTCATTCCACAACTGATCACATCTTTGTTTTGAAATGCTTGATTGATATTCTTTTGACTAAGAAGCAAAAACTTTATTGTGGATTCGTAGATTATTCGGTTGCGTTTGACTCTGTGTGGAGAGCTGGCCTATGGCACAAACTAATTAAATGTTATGGAATCGAAGGAAGGTTTTTAACTGTAATCCAGAATATGTATAATAATATTAAGAGTTGTGTATCTCATGATAATGTTAAAAAGTCTGATTTTTTTAGCTCATCTTTAGGGCTATGTCAGGGAGAAAATCTCTCCCCTTTGCTCTATGCTTTGTTTATAAATGATGTAGAAGCCTTTTTACTTGACAATAGTTGTGAACCTATTCCACTTATGGATGACGCACAACTAAATGTACTTTTAAAGTTGCTTGTTTTATTATACGCAGATGATACTGTGATATTTGCTAATTCTATGACCAATTTGCAAAAGGCCTTTTCTGAATTATCACGATATTGTAAAAAATGGAAAATCCACATCAACTTAGATAAAACCAAGGTTATGGTTTTTAGTAATAGTAAAACAGGTAGAAAAGGTATTCAAAATGTAGTTTTGGATGGAATTAAACTGGAAAATGTGACTGTTTTTAAATATCTTGGAGTTATTATTGATCAAAAGGGTGGATTCAATCAAAATATTAAAAATGTATATAGCCAGGCAGAAAAGGCCATGTTTGCTATACTTAGCCAGGGTAATAGATATTAGTTACCAATTAAGACACAATTACATCTTTTTGATACACTTGTTGCCCCCATTTTGTTATATGGGGCTGAGGTATGGGGCTTTATCAACAATACAAAATAGAAAAATTACATTTAAAGTTTTTAAAGTATATCCTTAAAGTCAAAGCATCAACACCAACCTTTATGGTTTATGGTGAGTTAGGGAGAATGCCATTAAGGGTAAAATTTGATTTCTGTATATTAAAATATTGGTATAGATTAAGCTCTAACAATGAAAAAACGCTCTCGGCAAAGATGTACAAAATATATAGAAGTTATTTTGATAAAAATCTTGTGAAGTCTGACTGGCTGAATTATGTCAAGAAGTCATTAGATAATCTTGGAATGACAAACATTTGGTTAAATCCTAGTAGTTCGCATTTTTCAAAATTTGTTAAA